TAAGGTCTGTTAGTATATAGCTTCATTCTGAAGTTGTTGCAGTTACTAGAGATTATTAGATCTCACAGTGGTGCTAAAGACTGAACATCACAGCATAATCATGTTGAGAAGTACTGACATTTAGATATATACCGAGGCCAGGGCATGTAGCAAAAAAGAAAGGAGCTCACTAAAAAGTCCCTTATTTGACAGTAGAAGAGATTAAAACGTATAATACTTCCAGTGCACATACAAAAATTGACATAGAAATAGATACACGCTATATGAGAAAACAAGGTACTCTCAAAAGTTCATAACTCTCCAATACTTGATCACATAAATGTCAAAGTGGAGGAAATGACGGGTAAAGAATTTTAAAAGTTAATTGTTAAAAAGATTAATTAATTGAAGGAAGATCTAAGGAATAAACTGAGGGAGAAAATGCAGGATATGAAAATGCATTTCAAAAGAGGTGAGATTCTGAAAAATCACCAAAAGAAATCCTGGAAACAAAAAAAATCAAATTTTCCTTTTTTATATTGTTCTTGATAGGGTTGTCTATCAAATTTATGGTGGTTTTACAAAACAGGAAGAAAGTGTTTGCTATGTATTTATTTATCTGGAGGGCACTGTGTAAAATGTGTCAATTTTTTTTCTTAAAAAAATGAATCACTGGTGAGGCTATTTTACATTTGGGTTGACTATAAAAGAAGCTCTGTAATGATGGATATCATCTCACTAAAAATTTGACATCATTTATACTTTCTGTTTTCTTAAATTGTGTTTCTATGTAAGTTTTCCATTTCCCTGATACTATTAGACTTACACATGAAATATTTTTCAATGGTGGTTTTATTCTTCTAACATTTGTGGTGTGCATTACCATCTAATCTTCTCACTTATTTTATGCTGTATGTGTTTCTTGCTCAATTTTATTAATGCTTTGTTAATTTTATTAATCTTTTCAAAGAAGTAACTTTTATTCTTATTTTTTTCTAGTGTTTGGAAGCTTTGTATGTCTTCTACTTTGGTCCTTATGACACTATTTTCTTCCATTGTTCCCTTCCTTTTTTCTTTGCACAGAAGATGCTATGTTATTATTAAAATAACGCAAGACAGACAGAAGCACTTCCTTGTCAATCTGACCTTAATAACCTGAGGTCTGACTCATTGTAACCACTATTATTAACATTCATTGTGATTATACAAAAGATTCCTTTTTCTTTCACACAACATTTAACAAAGTTGTGCAACCAGACTGAGTGTAAAAAAAAAAAAAAAGAAATTTAAAGTCATTATGTGCAGTGACCAGGAGATCCATCAGAACTTTAGTTGATTTGCTTAGAGTATGGAGGGAATGGAGTGTATAATTTCTTGTTAAAATTAAATTTCAATGTATCTTAGGGTCATTTTAACCATTGATCTATTATAAGATAGTAATAAATTATCTCAGAGTTTTATGCCATGTATCCTGTGTGCTACAAGTATTTATTGATCATTTTAGGAAGATTTCCATAAAATAAAAAAACTCCTATGTGAAGTCATAGATTACACATTGAATAGAATTTAGATTCTTACTGCACCTGAAAAGAAGGGGCACCCATCTTGTAGGTGGTTCTTTAGAAAATTTCAATGTACTTTTCTTGTGGTTTTAGTACACTGATGTTAATTGGTATTTCTATTTTAAAAGCTTCTCATACTCCAAATGATATCAGAACTCATTAATTGCTACTCAAAGTGCCTTCCTTGTGTATGTCTATGAAAAACAACTTAAAATAACTAAAAAGGGAAGTTGCAGATTTTCATACTAATTAAAATGCAGCAAGAGTAGGAAGACATAAAAATATATTAATTTAATAGTTTCTATGTTCAATTAAAAATGGTAAGAGGAACATGAGGTTTTAGGAAATTGACATACTACTGAATTCAGGGGTTGCTCCTTACACCCCTGGTTATTTGAGACATAGTGACAAGACTAAATGTAGTTCACCAACTGATGTCACTTTATATGCTATCTTGGACATTGCCAAAGCCTGCTTTTGGATCCCACTCCTACCCAAAGATAAAGATCAATTATCATTCATGCTATAAGGCCTCAAATACATGTTTCAGTACACCCTCAGAGGTACCTAAACTGTTTGTAGCCATTTGCTACAAGGGAGCAGGTCAGATTTAGTCTGAGTACCCCATATGCTGGTTGGGACCTTACACTAACAGATGGTATTCGGTTGGCTAGAGGATCAGAAGCCTCAGACTCAATAACACTGACTTAATTATTTTTACACCTTTACTAGCAAAGGGAACTGATAATGTTCAAAAAAATCTGTGTAGAGCAGTGACTTGAATCTCTCTGATTGCCTTGAGGCTGCTTTGAACTGGGAACTTCCTATGCAAAGATGCAGGTCAAGATGGCCCAGTTGCAATGGTGACACCCAGCCTGAGGAGGCTCTATGCAAAGGTGCACAGATGTTATCACTCTGGACCTTGAGCTCAGACACCAACTTTTGGGGATGGAGAATTCTGAACATAACAAGATAAATAATCCTAATGTCTTGCCAGTCCTATGCCCTTCAGATGGCCTGCTTTGCTGAAACTTTCCCCAAAATAGCCTTTTGATGAAACCTATATAATAAATTTGCCAAGCTAGCTCTGGAGCATTATAGCTTTATCAAAGGATACTGTCCCACCTGACCCCAGCTTTCTTTCTAAATGTTTATCTGTTTGTCTTCTCTCAATCCCCCATTGCCCCCTTGCCAGTGATTTCCTGAATTAATGGCTTCAGCTGAGATTTGGGGCTGTGGCAAAAATCCACAAGGCTTCTCATCATATTTTTTTAAAGACTATCCTGAAAGATTCACAATATCCTATCTCTCTGGCAGTCAAGAAGAAACTGATGTTTTTTCTTCTCTCCAAACAAAAGGTTGAGAGCATTTTTTCAGGTGCTAGAAATTAAGAGATTTTAGATGTCTTACTTTAGCATTCCACTTGGTCTTTTATTACCTAACCAACAGTGTGTATAACCCACAAATCTACATTAAAGCCAATCAACAAGCTATAGCATACTATCTACCCTGAGGTGCTACAAGTCAAATGAACCCTTTGAGCTTACAAGTCCTAATGACTGATGATATTGTGCAGAGGGAAGGAGAGGAAGTTTCCACTTGATGTTTAGGACTAACTGACACTCTAAAACAGTTATTCTGTAAAACAACTATTAACTTATTACTGGTCTCCTGTTGAAACTGAGCCTTGAAATCTAGAGACCCAATAGCTCTGGGGACTAATATTCTCATTTGGGATAGACCAAATCAGACTCAAAATTATTTGACAATGTTTACTTGCCCAATGAAAATTATTTAATCAAGAACACAGGGGTAGTCATAAGAGATGATCTAGCATTCAAATAAACACACAAGTAGATCATGTAGTCTCAGAAGTCCATGGAAATCTCTTTGAAAGGAAGTTGCCCTTGATTACCCAGAGGAATTATTGACATAGGAATTAATGACACATTATTTGTATTAATTCTGAGAGAAATTATCTCCACAATTAGAGTTATCCAATTAGAAAAGGTGGTATAAAATTTGTCTTTGATTTTATTTGAAATAATCAATGACACCATCTCAGCCCTGGAAAGCACTCTGGTAAACCTCACTCACTGATCAAGGTTACAAATTACAGAATTACCCAAAACTTCTTCATTGTAGGCCAACATGGAATGTGCTATTGTTAATGGATTTTGTTATACTTGAACCAGCTCCTCAGGCTACATGAAAAGGTTAATAATAGAATATTAAGGGGAAGCCTAGTGCTAAAGGATTTGTTTAGCTGACTGGGTCCAAAATCTTGAAGGTCAATGGATGAGGCCAATATAGTAGGTGGTCTCATCCTATGTCTTTGAAACTGTTAGGCTGAATTAAATACTATAAGAAACAAATTGAATGTATTTAGTTCCAATTTCTGTTGGTTAGGTTAATCAAATCAATAATGTGGTATACTCATGGAAAAATTTTTCATAATGGCCATGGAAACAGAGTTGCATCATGTTTAGGCTTTTTTGAAAATATGTAATTCAACAATGCTAGTCTTTTAATAGAAAAATCTACTGAAATTTTTAATTTAAAAAAGTTTTCTCCACAGGTTAAAGTTTGCTTTTTATTTAGCCAAATATTTTATATCTCTTTTCTTTCTTTTCTAGTTTTGATTTTAACCAAGTTTAATAACAAATACCTTGTTATTTTCTTTTATTTGTTACACTAAAAGTTACAGCCTGAAACAACTGATTATCTTTACACACTTTTCCATTACTTCTAGACCCTTATAACCAAGAATTCCATTAGCAATCTCTTTTGGAGAGCCAAATTCTCAATAACGAGTAAAATTTATGATATATACAATAGTGATTGTTCTTTAATGTTGAAACATAGAACAACATTGATAAATGAGCATACATCAAAAAACCTATTATTACATTGGTTAAAAGGTAAGAAATTAAAGGCCACTTCATATTTGTTAATATGATAATGCAAAAAGTGATGTCCCATAGCACAATTGAGATGCATTAAATAGCTACAGATCAACATGATTCTGAAGAACATAATTTCTGATGAAAAAGTAGAAGAGTTTGTATAAATTATATACAAATTTTAGAAATATATTGAATATATATATTCTGACAAGCAGAAAATGTGAGCAAATATGTATAAAAGTACACACTGTAACTTTAATAGAGTGGTTATCTAAGGGAAAGGAGCAGGAGAAATGGATTAGACAGTGATGTAATGATGTCCTTAAAATTTGATGTGTTAAAAATTATTGGTGATAGCAAAGAATTCAAATTCTTAAATTTTGGCAAATGATGCTTTTGCAACATTTGCATACACTGCTCTTTTTATTTTCTAATTACATTAAATATTTCATATATGTATATGGATACACACACACACACACACACACACACACACACACATATATATGTAGAGTTCATACATTAAATCAGCATAGTGAGAAGGAAAATTTACCTGTAAGTGTTGCTGCCATCCTGGCTGTTATTATGAACTGATTTTCTAAATATATAGGTATAAATTCAGAAGCTCCAATCAAAACTAAGAATTCTGAGGCTTTGGACACAGCTTTGCATAAAAACACTGGATTCTTCAGTAGGATCTGAAGTAGAAATAAGTTATATAGTAATTATTACATTTTGTTAGTTAAGACAAATAGATATGCCCATGCATGTTAAGGATCTATAAAAATTTACCTCCCCCAATATAAAGGGAAATAGGTATATGTAATTATCAAAAATATATATATGCGGGCTGGGATGTAGCTCAGTGGCAAAGCGTTTGCCTTGCACTCACAAAGCCCTGGGTTCAACCTCCAGTTCCAAAAAAAACAAAAAAAGAACCCCACCAAAAAAAAAAGATATATATATATATATGCAATTATATAATGTACAATTAACCCATATACCCATTCTATAAAATGTACACTTTCATTTTTATGTGCTCTTTACATAAAAATGGGTCTAGTAGCTAGTTGCAAAGATTTGGGAAAAACTCTGCTCACTGATATATTTTGCATATTTATCTAGTTCATCTTCTGAGTACTATCTTAATTGGGATAGTGTGATATCACTATATTTATCCATCCCCATAAGACTGAATATTTATATTGCCTTTAATTTCCTACTCTAATAAGCGTGGATATCTTAAAAACTCCCGTACACGTACTTTTAGTGTAGTATCTGATGGAGGGAATATCTTTGGAATTATGTATCCTTGAATGGAGTTACTAGGATATTAGGACTTAGCATAAATACTTCATTTCTCTATTATCCAGATCATTCTGCTGAGGTATCTGTTTGCGTTAGCATCTCAGTATAAAAAAGATCCAATTTCTTCATGTATCAACTTACACTATCCAAAATTTTTAGAGCAATTTTTTTGGGTTCTGCAAGTCCTTCCAGAACTATTCTATGACTAACAGTCATTGATCTTGGAAAGGCCTATGACTGTCTCAACCAGGTAAACAAGGCTACATGACTTCTGACTTGGTCATAAATTTTGTGTAGATTTTCCAAGAATTCCATATTCATTCCAGAAAATCTCTTGTATTTAGTTTTCTATTACTAGTCTATTAATGTTGTCTAGTTTTCTTCTTAGAACAGAAATCTTCAACTTGATATTATCTATAATCTGTAAAATTTGAATGTACATTTTACACTATTTAAATCTTGTCTAACAAATATTTTTGCACTTCTATGTTATAAAATAGTCTTTCTTTTTTAATATTGCTTTTTTAATCTAAGGTATTTAATATGAGGGAGACCAGGTTTCATGGTATATACCTATAATCCCAGCAACTTGGAAGGCTGAGATAAGAGGTTTGCAAGTTCAAAGCCAGCCTCAGAAACTTAGTGATGGCTTTAGCAACTTAGATCTTATCTTAAAAAAAATTAAAGAAGCCTGAGGATGTGGCCCAGTTATTAATATCCCATTACAAAAAAACAAAAACAAAAGCATTCTTTTAAAAAGGAAAAAAAAACCTTAAAACACTTATGCTCAAATTTTAAGTGCACTTTAATGATTGTATTTTATTTTTTTTTAAATGAAAGAGGTTGTGACTAATTGTTGGCTTCTGTATTGTTAAAGTAGGTCCATGTAGTGTTCTGATGAAATTAAAATTTGGTAAAATCTTAATGAAATATAATCAATTATAGAAATTATTTATGGTTTGACAAAATAACACTTGGCAAATAGAAACAAGTTAAAATGTTCTTATTTTATACAACTATAGCCATTTATCTTAGGAAGAACTAGAATAATATAAAAATTAAAACATATATATTTGTATATGTGTTAAATATGTGTGTGTGTGTGTAAATGAACACATTCTACTAAAATAGTGTTGTCCTAAAAAACATTGTTTGTGTGTGTGTGTGCATGTGTGTGTGCACATGTGTGTATTTTTTTTTTTTTTTGAGCATTAAGGAGAAAGTCATTTTGCCTAGAAAAATAAGACAAGATGTGAAAAGGGATTTTTGTTTGTTTTGGAATGAAGAAAAGAGAGAAGGACAGTTTAAACAAATAGATTAGCATGTACAAATAAGCAGTATGATAACATACTTGATATGATCAGGACCAAGATAGTGATTAGAATGTGGAGAACATAGGAATAAAATCTGAAAAAAAATGAGGTAAGAAAAATCAGTTAATGTTTATTATGAAGGGAGAATAAAACTACCAATGAGCACTACAAAGAATACTCAAAGATATACTGCACGCAGAAGATCCCAAAACTAATCCCAAAGCTCCCAAATATATGAAGATCCATATTAATCAACTGCATTAGAATCAGGACAGAATTGAATAAAGCAAAAAAATCAAAATGGCAGGAAACCACAAACACATATTCATAATAACACTGAATGTAAGTGATCTCAACTCCCCAATTAAAAGATACAGATTAGCAGAATGGGTCGAAAACAAGATCTAATTAAAAACCATTTTCAAGAGACTCATCTCATAGGCAAAGGCACTCATAAGCTGAAGGTAAAAGGATGGGAAAAAATAGTCCAGGCAAAAGGAGTTCAAAAATAAAGCAGAAGAATCTCATATGTAACTAAAAAGATTTCAAGCAAAAAAAATATATATATTCAGAAGAAGAAAAGAAGGCCGCTGCCTCCTGGTAAAGAGATCCATCCAACAAAAGAAGATATAATGATAGTAATTACATATGCCATGGATGTCAGTGTGTACTATTGTATAAAAAATACTCCTTGATACTACATCTCAGAGATATCTTACTATAATAATACTAACTGATTTAAATGTACCTTTATCAAAACATAAAAGCAATATAGATATTTCTAACCTAAATAATACTATAAATCAAATAGTCCTAATAAAAACTTGAGAATATGTCACCCCAAACAGCTGAATTTACCTTCTTAGCAGTTTATGAAACATTTTCCACAATGGATAATATTCTAGGTCACGATATAAATCTTATAAAATACAAAAAATAAGAGAGAGAGAGAGAGAGAGATTTAATGCCCATGCATTCTATCAGGTGATAATTGAATGAAACTAGAAATCAACAACAAGAAAAAGAATGGAAACCACATAAATACATAGAGATTGAAAAACACTCTTTTAAATGAAGAATGGATCAAAGAAGAAGTGAGAGAAGAAATCAAATCCTTAGAAACAAGTGAGAATGGAGATACAACATATCAAAATCTCTGGGACAGTATGAACACAGTTTTAAGAGGAAATTGATAACATTAAGTGTCATCATTTAAAAAAAATAAAAAGATTCCAAATAAGTAACTTTATGTTCCATCTCCAGACCTTAAAAAGAAAGAACTAACTATAAAATAAGTAAAATACATAAAATAATAAAGATTATATCCAAAATTAATAAAATCGAGAATAAAATAACAATACACAGGATCAATACAACAAAGACTTGGCTCTTTGGAAGATAAACAAGATTAATAGATTCTTAGCCCAACTAACAAAAATAAAGAGAGAGGATCCAAATAAACAAAGTTAGAGATGGGAAGGAAAATATCACCACAGACACTACTGAAATCAGAGAATCATTAGAAACTATTTTGAAAATTTATACTCCAATAAACTGGAAATCTAAAATACACTTACAAATTTCTAGACACATATAATCTGCTTAAATTGAATCAGAAAGATAGAGAAAACATAAACAGACCAATATCAAAATAACAAATTTGAAGCAACAATTAAAAGCCTTTCAACAAATAAAAGTCCAGGACCAGATGGATTCTTATCTGAGTTCTAACAGACGTTTAAAGAACTAACACCAGTCTTTCTCAAATTATTCTATGAAACTGAAAAGGAAAGAACACTCCCAAGTGCATTCTATAAAGTCAGTATAACCCTGATTCTAAAACCATACAAAGACACATCAAAGAAACATAACTACAGACCAATATTCCTGATAAATATCAATGCAAAAATCCTTAATGAAATACTACAAACTATAGCAAAAAACACATCAAGAAGATAAAAAACCATAAGCAAGTGGGCTTCATCCCTGGGATACAAGGTTGGTTAGCATACAAAAATCAATAAATGGAATTCACCAATTAAATGTAATTAAGAATGACAATCAGTTGATCAGCCCAATAAAGAAAAGTCCTTTGACAAAATCTGGCATCCATTCATGTTAAGAATTCTAGAGAAACTGGTGATAGAAGAAATTACCTCAATATTTTAAATACTATATGTGACAAACCCAAAACTAATATCATACTAAACAGAGAAAAGCTGAAAGCATTTCCTTTAAAATCAGAAACAAGACAAGGATATTCACTCTCATCACTTCTATTTAATATAGGCCCTTGAAACTTTAGCCAGAGGAATAAAGCAAGAGAAGAAAATTAAACTGATACAAATAGGAAAAGAAAACATCAAATTACTTTTATTTTTTGATGACATGATCCTATATCCAGAAGACCCAAAAAAGTTCCACCAGAAGATTTCTGGAGCTAACAAATGAATTCATAAAGGTATAGAAGATCACCACTCATAAATCAATAGCTTTTTTTATACTCCAAAAGTGACTCATCTGAGAAATAAATCAGGAAAACCATCCTTTTCACAATAATCTTTAAAAAATAAGGTAAAATAAAATAAAATACCTTGGAATTAATCTAACCAATGAGGTGAAAAACTTCTACAATGAAAACTACAGAACACTGAAGAAAGAAATTACAGAAAACATTTGAAGATAGAAGGACCTCCCATGAACTTGAATAGGCAAAATTAATAAGATGTCCATGCAACCAAAAGCAATATATAGATTTAGTGTAATCCCCATGAAAATACCAAAGGCATTCTTCACATAACTAGAAGAAACAGTCCATAAATCATTTGAAAGAATAGAGACATAGAATAGCCAAAGCAGTTCTAAGCAAGAAAAGTGATGTAGGAGACATCACAATACCCAATCATAAATTACACTACAAAGTTATAGTAACAGAAACAACATGGTATTAGCATCAAAATAGAGATGAAGAATAATAGAATAGAGGAAAAGACACAGAAACAAACCCACATACTTAAGTCATCTGATACTTGAAAATCGTGCCAAAAACATATGTTAGAAAGGAGATAGCCTTTTAAACAAATGGTGCTGAGAAAACTGAATATCCAGATGTAGAAAAATGAAAATAAGTCCCTATCTCTCACCCTGCACAAAAGTTAAAACAAATGGATTGAATTTAGACTACAAAACTTGCAACTTCTAGAAGAAAACATAAGGTCAACTCTTCATCATATGGTGTTGGCACTGACTTCCTCAGTAAGATGCCTAAAGCTCAAGAAATAAAACAAAGAATCAATAAGTGGAATGTTATCAAATTTAAAAGTTTGTGCAGCAAAGAAAATTGATTAAAAGTGGGAAAAGAGAGCCTATAGAATGGGAGAAAATATTTGCTAGTTGCTCCTCTGATAGGGGATTAATATCCAGAATATATTATATAGAGAACTCAAAAAACTCAATGCCAAAAAAATCAATAAATAAGCAAAATAACTAATTAGAGATTTCTCAAAAGAGGAAAACAAATAGCCAAGATATATACGAAAAAAATTTTAACATCTCCAGCAATCAGAGAAATGCAAATCAAAACTACACTAAGATTTCATATCGCTCTAGTCAAAATGGCAATTACCAAGAATACAAATAAATAAATGCTGGAAAGCATTAGGGCAAAAAGTTACACTGATATATTGTTGGTGTGACACTGATATATTTCATGGGGATTACACTGAATCTATATATTGCTTTATATTGATCCACTTTAAGTTGAGTTTAATGCAAAGGTTTAACTTCATTTGGTTGGAAAGCAGTATGGAGATTCCTCAAAAAAGTAAGAAAGGAACAAGCATGTGGCCCAGCTACCCTACTCCTCAGGATTTATCTAAAAGAACTAAAATCAGTATACTATTGTGATACAGCCACTTCAATATTTATAGAAGCCCAATTCACAATAGCCAAAGTATAAAACCAGTCAAAATGCCCATCAATAGATGAATGGATCAAGAAAATGTGGTATATATACACAACAAAGTTTTACTGAGCTATAAAGAAAAATAAAATTATGGCATTTGCTGGTAAATGGGTGAAAATGTAGAGCATCATGCTACATGAAATAAGCCAGAGTCAGAAAGTCAAGGATGTGAATGTGTTCTCTCATATGTGGAAAGTAGAGCAAAATAAGGGAAAGAAAGTAGGGTAGGGAGATTGGATGTCATAAATACATAGAGAAGATCAGTGAAGTAGTAAAGGAAAACAAGGAGGAGTGGGGAGAACTTAAAAGGGAAAGAAATATGGAACAAATTTAACCAAATAATTTTATCTGCATATATAAATATGCCAAAGGGAATTTCACCTTTATTTAAAGTAGAAAGAAAGTACCACTAGAAAATTAGTAGATAATTGCTAGAGAAGCTGAACATCTTTTTACATATTTGTTAATTGACTGTATTTCCTCTTCTGTGAAGAGTCTGTTCAGTTTCTTAGCCCAATTATTGACTGGGTTGCTTTTTTTGGGGGGGGTGGGGGTTGGTGTTAAGTTTTTTGAGTTCTTTATATATCCTAGAGAGTAATGCTTATCTGAGGTGCATGTGGTGAAGATTTTCTCTCAATCTGTAGGCTCTCTCTTCACATTATTGATTCTTTTATTGATTCCTGATTTTACTTCTTGCACTTTACAGTCTTGTTAAGGAAGTCAGAACCTAGGCCGACATGGTAAAGATTCGGGACTACTTTTTCTTCTATTAGGTGCTCTATTTTCTTCTATTAGGGTCTCTATTCTAGGGCCTAAATCCACTTTGAGTTGAGTTTTTTTTTTGTTTTTTTTTTTTTTTTTTTAGAGAGAGTGAGAGGAGAGAGAGAGAGAGAGAGAGAGAGAGAGAGAGAGAGTTTTTTTAATATTCATTTTTTAGTTCTCGGGGGACACATCTTTGTTGGTATGTGGTGCTGAGGATCGAACCCGGGCCGCACGCATGCCAGGCGAGCGCGCTACCGCTTGAGCCACATCCACAGCCCTTGAGTTGAGTTTAATGCAGAAGTTTAATTTCATTTTGTTATATGGCCTTCCATTTTTCCCAGCATAATTTATTGAATAGACTATCTTTTCTCCAGTGAATGTTTTTGATGCCTTTGTATAGTAAGAGATAACTGTATTTATGTGGGTTTGTCTCTGTGTCTTCTATTCTGTACCATTGGTCTATGTGTCTGTTTTGGTACAAATACCATGCCATTTTTGTTACTATAGCTCTGCAGTATAATTTATGGTCTGATATTGTGATGCTTCCTGCTTCACTTTTCTTGCAGGATTGTTTTGGCTCTTCTGGGTCTCCTATTTTGCCAAATGAATTTTATGATTGTTTTTTTTTTCTAGTTCTATGAAGAGTGACATTGAGATTTTAATAGAAATTGCATTAAATCTGTATAATGCTTTTGGTGTATGGGCATTTTGACAATATTAATTCTGCCTATCCAAGAGCATGGAGATGTTTCCATCTTAAGGTCTTCTTCAATTTCTTTCTTTGGTGTTCTGTAGTTTTTGTTGTTTGTTTGTTTGTTTGTTTTTTGAGAGAGAGAGAGATTTTTTTAATATGTATTTTTTTAGTTTTCAGTGGACACAGCATCTTTATTTTATTTTTATATGGTGCTGAGGATCGAACCCAGCACCCTGCACATGCCAGGCGAGCACGCTACTGCTTAAGCCACATCCTCAGCCCCTGGTTCTGTAGTTTTCATTGTACAGTTCTTTCACCACTTTTGTGAGATTGATTTCCAATTATTTTATTACTTTAATGGGGTAGCTTTCCAAATTACTCTTTCAGTGGATTCACCACAGATGTATAAGAACATATTTGATTTATGGGTTTTGATTTTATATCCTGCTACTTTGCTGAATTCATTTATTAGTTCTAGAAGTTTTCCAGTGGAATTTTTTGGATCTTCTAAATATAGAATCACAACATCAGCAAATAGTGATAATCTAGGTTCTTCTTTACCTATTTGTATCCCTTTAGTTTCTTTCTTCTAATTGTTCTGGCTATAGTTTCAAGGACAATGTTGAATAAAAGTGGTGAAAGAGGGCATCCTTGTCTTGTTCCAGATTTTAGAGAAAATACTTTCAATTTTTTACATTTAGAACTATATTGGCCTTGGGTTTAGCCTTCTAGCAATTTGAGAAATACAAATCAAAACTAAGACTTCTTCTCACTCCAGTCAGAATGGCAATCATCAAGAATACAGTCAACAATAACTGTTGCTGAGGATGTGGGGGGAAAGGTACACTCATACATTACTGGTGGTACTGTAAATTGGTGCAACCATTCTGGAGAGTAGGATGGAGATTCCTCTGAAAACTGGGAATGGAACCACCATTTGACCCATTTATCCAACTCCTCAGTCTATAATGAAAGGACTTAATATCAGCATGCTATAGTGATGCAGCCACATCAATGATGCAGCTCAATTCACATCAGCTGATCTAGGAACCAACCTAGATGCCTTTCAATAGATGAATGGATAAAGAAAATGTGGTATATATATACAATGGAATGTTACTAAGCTATAGAAAATGAAACTATGGCATTTGCTGGTAAATGAATTGAGTTGAAGAATATCATGCTAAGTAAAATAAGCCAATCCCCCCCAAAACAAAAGCCAAATGTTTTTTTCTGATATTCAGATGCTAATTCACAATAGGGGAGGGCACTATGGAAGAATAGAGTTACTTTAGATTAGGCAGAAGAGAGTGAGAGAAGGGGAGGGGTACGAGGATAGAAAGAATGAAACAGACATCATTACCTTATGTACATATATGACTCAGGAACACTGTGATTCTACAACATGTACAATCAGAAAAATGAGAAATCATACCCCATTTATGTATAATATATCAAAGTGCATAAATGTATTCTGTCATGTATAAATAACTAGAACAAATAAAATTTATTAAAAATAGTTAAAGAAATCAATAGATAAATGAACACAAAGAAGAACAGTATAGTGGAGGAATTAAAATAAGGGGAGTGAAAGCAAGGCATTGGGGAACTGAAGCCAAATTCCTTGAATGTATGATTCTGTTAAAATGAACTCAACTACAATGTATAAATGTAATGCTCTAATTTAGAAAGAGAAAGAGAGAGAGAGAGAGAGAGAGAGAGAGAGAGAGAATGAATTTTATCTACAGAATAATCTGAGATAGGACTTGATATAATATAAATGTATAATAAAATTATGCAAGTGCCATAAAATATAAAATTATAAGAATAGAAAAGTAGAATCTCACTATTTGAAAGTTGGCATGTTTTATGCCATCATGATGACTGTATGATAGGTGTGAGTGCTCCATTTCACATCATGATGAGACATTTTCCATGGAATATGGTACTTGTGGTATTATGTGTTAACTTCCAGATTCGTTCTCACTGAATTAAACATAATAAAATATAATGTTGATGACTACTTGTCATCTCATTAAATGTCATATTTATTTCTTCAGGGAAAAATAAACACAAAATCATACAAAAACAAAATTAAAAGAAATAGAATATACCTGATATCAGTTTCTCACACCAACATACTCTTGGTAATGACAGTTGAGTGCGATGGGTCCTGGTTCCCATTATATGAAAATGGAATATTTTAATAAAAAGACTCCAAAAGTTTCATCCAGACTTAAGTTGAACACTTTATGGCTACTTTCTTAAGTCCACTATTAGAAAATTGCAAAGATCAACTTAATTCATTTTTCATATAAAGTAATTTACTTTACCCCAATAGCAGCAAACAAGTCCTTAATACCAGGTCCAAATTTCTTATTTTTAAGCTTGTCACCAAACAAATGAGTCTGTTGTTTACGTTTTATAGCTTTTATTTTTGCTGTACCTATATGTTAACAAGCAACAGAATTTTATGACATGTTCAAATAAGTTAAATACATATATAACACATACATACACACACAGATAAATCCAGTTTGTAATGAAAAGGGACATGAATTATTTTTAAACAATCTAAAGTTAATCCTATTAAGTAAAAGATACATCTTCTAAAACAGTGCTGTCCTAAAGACCATTTTGTGATAATGAAAATTTTCCATATTAACACTATCCAATACTATAACTACTAGTTATATAAATGCCTAATAAATACTTGAAATATAGTTCCTATTATCAAGTAACTTAATTTTTAATTTAATTTGTTTTAAATTTTAAATGGGCACATTTAACAAATGGCTAAATGTTTGAAAGCACAATCATAAAACATGAAAAAATAATATTTATTGTTTCTAAAAACATGTTGTGCCCATGAAATGCACAATCAAGAATCAGATTTCTCTGATGTTACAGGTTTTTTTTAGTGCTTCCACATCACTTTACTAGTAACTTAATCTTAAAAACATTCTATGACATAGTGCATACATTGAATCATGCTAGGTAAACAGATCTATATATACTTCATGTTTAAAATTATGAACTCTAGACATAAAGCATTTGTAAAAAGAAATAATGAGAAGCAAAAATATTTATTACTCAAATTGTGGTAGACAAATAAAATATTTGGCTGTAGGGTTGTTTCATTTGTTCAAAAAATACTATCACAAGACACTATGTCTCAATGGAGAGACCACTACCAGTAGGAGATGTAGCTCAGCCATGCTCCGAACTCTTGGGAGCTAAGGGGTGGGAAGTACTAAATTTTAATTAATGAATTATATTTTTACATTCACCTGGTATGTCATGTGGAAAGCATAACAATGGTATTACAGCAGACCATGCAAGAAGACCGGCACCAAAAAAATCAATCCACCAAATAAACTGCCATTTTCTATCACTGTCATCTTCCGCAATGCTTTAATAAAGAAAATTTAATAAAAAATTAAAATGCTTTCATTTTCAGCTTTGGGCATTTTATTAAAATAAAACCATGCACAAACACACGGAGAAAAATTTCTATTAATTTGTAATTAATTAATTTGTAATCTGTCACTATTGTTTGTTAATTTTTGTTAGCAGGCAGTAGTTGGTAGTCTCCCAATTAAATGATTCTTTTTTGATTTCCAGGATCCTAATTTTTTTCATTGTCCTACAGCAATTAGGAAGGGAAAGGTTCTTGTTTGTCCCTATTTAATTGTTTTCTCCAACAGAAACTATGCATTTAGAAGAGAATCCCTTTAATTCTCATCTGTCCTTAAAACTCATCCCTACCCCTTTCAATTTTGCACTTAGACCTTTATGATAAGCCTCCCTTTTAAGTTGCCCAATTGATTTTTTTATGTAGCATTTGACCCTTTAAATCCCATGTACTTTAAAATCACTTACTTCTGCAGTCCCTTCTCTGAAATTTCATATTTGGTATGATTTTATCTTTCCAGTGGCTTGAACAAATCCTCTTTGGACCACCTGTTAGTCAATCTGTCTCTTGCTTTCCCTGTGGTTTTTCTTGCTCTCTCTTTGCTTCTCACAGATCTTGCAGCGGACAGGATGGGAATGGAATGAGAAAGATCCTGCGTGGGATTTGTTGGCTTTCTCTTCTTTCCCACAGTGATTTTGAGGTTTGAACATTTATTGTCTTCAATTATTGCTAAAGCCATGATTTTAACAAGAATTTTCATAGTTGTGATTTTTTTTTTGTATCACTTAGGGAGATTAGAGAAAGTTGATTGATTATAAAACCACCAATGTTTTCAACTCCTCATACATTCAAGACCTTCTTCAACCAGTCATTGTTGGAAAATGCTCATGTCTACAGGAACCCGGGTTTGGGAGGAGCTGGTGTCTCACAGGTTACTCTACTGCTGACCAAAACCTGGTCAGTCCTAGTTCATAGAAACTTGCTTTCCATTAAATATGGAAAATGCTGACTCTCTTGTCCAATGCTAACAATATTCCTGAATACAAATTCTAGCAAGAAATAACATGGGATTATTCAATCCTTACTTCCATTATCCTCTTTTCATCTCTATTTGAATATGCTACACCCAGGGAATTTTAACTCCAAATCACCATTGGAGTTGTATGTTCCCTTGTTGTTTATAATATTCATAATCTTTTTTTCCACTTTTGAACCCAGCTATGTACTCCAACTGTATATAGTATATTATATGTAATATGATTATTACTTTTGTGTTTGATTAGTATACCTAAAAGAATCTGGGCCACAACTTTAAAAAAAATACAACGTATAAGCAAAACATGATAGGATGACTGTGTCTATCAGATAAATTTAGAAATCAAGAGATTTTTCTTCTGGCAAAACTAATTGATTGGAAAATGAAATAATATAATGACTCCATACATAAAACTGACAAAACATACAAAATGCTTAGAAATAAGGTTAATGGGATAAGTTCAGTAAAAATATAATAAAACTTTACTGAATGGCATAAAACAAGAGCAGAGATAATAGCATAACATGTCATTTTATTGCATGGAAAAGATAAATATTCCCAACTTGATACATTAATTCAATTCAAATAAAAGTGTTTTAGTTGTAGTCTGAGGTTATCGTCTTTACCTAGAAGATAATTTTGAAAGAAAATCGTCCCTAATATTTGATTAAAAACAATAATTGGGAGTATATTCAAATACTAAATTAAAAATAAAATTTTAGAAGTTACAAAAACCTGTAGTTTGACATGAAAAATTGAAAACTATATTGGGCTTACAGACTGGAGAGATAGGACGGAAACCCATATATACAATGAGGTTTAATTTCTGATAAAGGTGATTTCTAGTATCAGTTAAGAAACAGAATGGTTTATGAATATCAGTACAATTTGCCCTTTGACAGAAAAATAGAAGCCTGGACTATGTATCATGTCATATACATAAATATATAAATCAGGTGCAACTGAATATGGAATTTAAGCATAATTACAAAAGTACTGAAGAAAATATAATCAATTATTTAATGATTCTGTAAAGGAAGAACTTTTTAAGCAAGATGAAAATACTAAAACTTTATAAAAAAACAAATAGCTGAATTTGACTATGTAAGAGCTTTTAATGTTTACATAATAAAAGACTCTATACAACAAGCATAAAGACAGATTGAGGGGAAAAAAGTTCTGTCTTTTGTCATATCTATGACTCTTGAAGAACTTTTTTAAAATTAACAAATTAATTGGACCTGGGCATTGAACCCAGGGTCACTTTATCACTAAGCTACATTGCCAGTCCTTTTTATTTTTTATTTTGAGACAGGTTCTTAGTAAGTTGTCCAGGCTGACCTCAAATTTGAGATCCTTCTGTTTTAGCCTGCTGAGTTGCTGAGATTATACGTGTCCGTCATCATGTCTGGCTATAAAGAACTTTTATAAATCTATATAAACAATGAGCAAATATAAAGCCAAGAAAGGAAATAAGTATTAAATTAAAACTAAATTAAAAATTATAAAAAAGTATAAAATTAAAAATTTGTGTTTACTGACATACAAAAATGTAAAAATAACATATTTATGGCATCACAAGTGACATTTTGATATCACATATATACCTTCTGTAATGTTTAAATCAGGGTAAAAATATTTATAATCTCAAATGTTTATCATTTCTTTAAGGTGAATACATTCAAAATAATTTCTTCTAGTTTTTTGATATATCCAGTCCATTTTCATTATCTGCAGTCACCAGAATATCTAAGTCCTAGGACTTAGTATCTATTGTTCAAACTTTTGCCATCACTTCCTCTCTGCTATGTTTCCCAACTTCTGGTAACCAATATGATACACTTAATTTCTACGAGGTCAAGTTTTTATATTCCACATAAGTGCAATCATATGGTACATGTCTTTCTGGGTCTGGTTTATTTCAATAACATTATTTCTAGTTCTATTCATGTAATTGAAAATGCCAGAATTTCATCCCCTGTAAAGGCTAAATAGTATTGCATTCTATATGGTCCACATTTTATTTATTCATTCAATAGGTGATGGGCATTTGCGTTGTTTTCATTTTTTGCATATTGCAAATTGGCACTGCCATAATCACGTGAGTGCAAATGTCCCTTTGACATGCCGATTTCATTTCTTTCAGACATATACCCAGTTATGGGATTGCAAAATCACATGGTAATTATTTTTTTTTGAGAAAACTCCAAGTAGTTTTCCATAATAACTACATTGATTTACATTCTGTTTTAGTCAGCTTTTTGATTGCTGTGAATAAAAGACCCAACTAGAACAATTTTGGTGGAGGAAGTTTTGAGGGGCTCATGGTTTCAAAGATCTCAGTCCATAGAAGAGGCTCCATTCCTCAGGGATCGAGGTGAGACAGGACATTATGGTAAAAGAGTGTAGCGGAGAAAAGTAGCTCACATGATGATCAGAAAGCAAAGAGAGACTCCATTCACCAGATACAAAATATATACCCCAAAGGCATGACCCCAATGATCCACCTCTTCTAAGCACACCCTACCTGCCTTCAGTTTCCACTCAATTAATCCCATTAAGGGATTAATTCACTGATTGGTTAAGGCTCTCATAAACCATCATTTCTCATCTAAACCTCTGAGCCACATACCTGAGATTTTGGAGGACACCTCACATTCAAAACATAACATTCCACACCTGGCCCCCAAAATTCACAACCATCTCACAATGCAAAATAGATTTTATCCATTTCCAAGAGTCTCTGTAGTCTCAACCATTCCAAGATTGCCCAAAAGTTCAAGCCCAAAGTCTCCTCTGAGACTTAAGACAAGCTTGTATTGGGAGTTTCTGTAAAAATCAAAGGTGATTTGCAAGTATCCGATATATGAAGTACAGAGTAGATATTTCCATTCACAAAAATAGGGGCATAGAGGGCTGTGGCTATAGCTCAGTGGCAGAGCACTTGCCTCCAGTGTATGAGGCACTGGGTTTGATCCTTAGCACCCCTTAAAAATAAAGAAATTTTAAAAAGGCATTCTTTCCATCTACAACTACAAAAAAAATTTTAGAAAAAAAATAGGAGCACAGAAAGAAGGGATGGGACCAAAGCAAGGCTGAAAAACCCTTGGGCAAACAAGTCCTGTAGTTATGTGTCCAGCATCTAGAGAAGAGCTTGTGTACTCCAATCCATCCCTCTGGCCTTGTTGGTTGTACCCTTTCTGTTGAGTTGTCTCCAATTCCTGCACCTTTCCTAGGGCAATGTTCCACATTACTGACACTTCTTAATCTAGGGGGGGGTCTCTATTGCAGCTTTCAGCTTCTCCTCACATTTCCATACTTTGCTCTCGCAGGGGCTACCCACAAGGACTTCAATCCTGGGGCACTTTTTCTAGCCTCCTAAGCCTTCCTTTGAAATCTGGGTAGAAGCTCCAGGACCCTCTAACTCCGGCATCCTACATTGCTGCAGAACTAGCACCACATGGTTGATGCCAAGGTCTGCTGTCATCTCAAGTCTTCAGGGACCCTGGTTGCAGCAGCCTCTGAATGTCTGGGTGGCTAAACACATTGAAAAACTTCCTAGGCCACCTTGTGCAAAGAAGGGTATCTCCTCAAAAGAATTTTTACTTTTATTTTCTTGAGTCTGAGATGGATATGATCTTGCCAATTCCTGAGATGCCCTCAAGCCATCTTTCTTAATATCTTTGAGCAAAGTCTTTTGCATTTCTTTAGCGTCAGTAATGTATTCAGTGACTTCAAATTCCTTAGCCCCAGTTTTACTGAGCTTTCTGCTTCTGAATATCATAACAAATTTGGCTAAAAGCTGCCAGCAATAGCTATACTACCACCTGAATATTATGCTGTCTAGAAATTTCTTCTGCTAGATTAAGAAGTCCATCACTTTTAAAATCAGCCTAGGGCTGGGGATGTGGCTCAAGGGATAATGCGCTCACCTGGCATGCGCGGGGCGTTGGGTTCAATC